TTGAAGGAAGAATAAAACATCACAATGGCATCTCCAAAGAATCTACACTCAGCACCAACACTGATCCTTGATTTCAGGGATTTCTCAAATGGAGCACATACCAAAAATTAGTTGTAAATACTAGTAATTGTTTTGTACTGATTCTCTTTAGTGTATATATAGGAGCACTCTGGTACTTCTATTTTGAGGTGAAAAATCAATTCTTCAAGATATATAAAATTTCACCACCTTCATTCTCCATTTTTCTGTTTTTTATCTGACTGTTCACATATTGACCACATGATTAATTTCTTATCAAATTATGGTGTTGAAGAATTCATCGTTGAAATCAGTCTGGGATACAAAATTCCTTCTTCACTATTTATGTATTTCCAGTTGAAATATTTAAAACTTTCTGCTTGTTTGATCAATCCTCCTCCAACCTTCAAAGGATTTAATAGACTGATCAGGCCGGAATTGTGTAACGTCAACATTGATGCTGAAGTATTAGATATCCAGCTGCCCGTTACTGGAGCAACTGTTGCTGGATTTCCCAATTGAATTTGACAACTTGGAAATTGATGCTCCTATGCTAAGACTATTTCAACTTCGATGTTTCTGTTGATCTATTTATATAAAGAGATCCCTGCATCTTACAGCAGTTACAGTTACTGCTTACGATCATTATGCAGTTGACGACATTAACTATGGAAACTGTAACTTCGTTGAGTTCTTTGATTCTCTTCCAGCCCTTCATAAACTGTACATGGACTTCTATTTTATGCTGGTATGGTTGATTATAAATGTAATCACGTGAATTCATCAATGTATGTTTAGATTCAGTGGATGAAATCTCGTGTGTTCTTTGCTTGATCAGAAGCTCCCCCAACCTTGAGAAAATGAAAATCACAGTAAGTAGTGGACATAGTTATTTCAATCTACATTCTTCTATTTCCTGATAAACTAAAAATTTAAGCTAACTGATTTTTTGTCGTATTTCGTAGACTATGAGTCAGGAAAATACTGATGCAAGTCCTGTTCTAGACTTTCTAAAAGTGCAAGACTACTCAAATGTACTTTTAAATCAACTTCAGGAAGTGAAGGTACTATCTATTACTGGCGCAATTTCTAAGATGACACTCACTAAGCTTTTATTGGAGAAATCGCCGAAGCTAAAGAGAATGGTTATCCAGCACAAGAGCAATTTGTTCTGCCTAGCACCGAGAAAGTTAATGTGATTTTGAAAGAGGTGAACAAATTTGAGCGTGTCACCAAATGCAATTGTCATTTATGAAAATAAACTTTGATAGTTTGATGAATCTAGCTCAAAGAGATCAGAGTACTTTCAGTTTTGGAATGTGGCTTTCTGAAATTAGAGATGTTTTATTGGATAATGCAAGGTAGTGTTGGGTAAATCTGAGGTTTCAAACCATATCAAGAAAACAATTCTTAAATTACAGTTTTTTTTGTGCAAATAGATCTACTTGAATGCAAGTAAACTTATGATCTTATTTTCATGATGTTCTTCATATATATGAAGTTTTGACTAATAATAGTTTAGGATAAGATTTGGGTTTAATGATGTAAATATTTTGAAATTATACATGTGGGGTATGAAAGTTTATCCTTGGAAAATATGAGTCAAATCTTATTCGACTGTGAAAAGGAGGGTGTAAAATTTATACTAATCGAAGGCGACTAACAACTTTATCACATGTAAATTCTAGTAACTGCAATTAAAGTTCCCTGAAAAGATTTCAAGTGCATAATTAGAACACTTCAGAAAAATCTTTCTATTTCAATTATGTCTACAAACTTTGTATTGTTATCTAATTCAAGAATTAGAGAATCATTATTCAAGACTGTTGACGTAAATTAATGTCGACATTTTATTGATGATAATTAACCACAATTGGATTTATAAAAAGTATGGAGTAAAAATGACTGCTATAAGTTCTTTTTACTTTTAAATAAAGTACTTAATTAAAAATGACTCTTATTTAATTATTAAAGTAATATATTTTATTTATATAAAATTTATGTTTACTTTTAGGTTATGACTTATAAGTACATTCCAGTTCACAATCAAATATGAAAGTAGTTATGCTGTCAATTTTTTTCTGTAAGTGGATGCGTAGTTCTGAATAACAAAGTGATGAACATAATATGGTTCCCACGAAAACTAATTACATACTTAATTAAACCTAGCTCTATTTCAAGAAAAAAAAAAACACTAGTAATTTTTAAAGTAGATTTTAACTGATTATAATTATCTATTAACACAATGAAACGAACAATTTCTTTGAATTAATCATATTACAAAATGCACTAGAATCCCAAATTCACTATTGTTGACATACTTTCATCTTCAACTACATGTTTATAGCCGGTTCTTATTTTATGTTACCAATCGATATTCCTTATGTGTTAGTTTTATCTCTCGACATAAAAGAAACCAATTCTTAAATTGTGCAGAAATTGTGTTAATTTTTCTCTGTATCATTTTATGTACAAAACTACAATTTTATCGGAGTTGTCTCCTTCTATTGGCGACCTTTCGGCGCAATAGATGGGATGGCAATGCATAGTTTAAATCCTTCAAGAAGTCAACATACGACTTCAAAGATGCGACATCCTTTTCCCATATTACGTTTTCAATTCAAAATTGTAGTAACTAATAACCCTTTCTTTAGAAGTCGTGTTATGTTCTCTATATCGATTTCATATTGAATATCCTTAAAGTGACAAGCGTCTACTAACACTTGAATGTAGTAAAAGTTAATGACGATATAAAAGCAACGTATTCACATCTCAAAAAACTTGTAATGAGTACTAACAAATTCTATATGACCTTTTTTTTTTCTTGCATTATTTATCTAGGAATTAGTAGGACCACATATTACTGCAACTGAATTTTAGAAATGTTTTATTTAATTTAAGTTTAATTTATTCATACAATGTTTTAATTTCTTTAACTAATAAATCTTTATATTTTCTCCTTATTTAAGATTATCTTCATGTCATTAAATAGGAATTTAAAGATAAAGAGAGAGCTATTGAGTATTGGATGACAACTTTTCTTTTTCATTAGTAAAACGTGCATTGGATCATTATTTTCGACTTATCTATCCATTTAAGGTCTATATGTTATTTCCTTTTACTTTATAAATAAAAAAAAAATACTTATTTTCAACTCCTACCATTAAAAGAATTTATATTTTTAAACATACTTATTTACTTGTAAGTAAACTTTTTAACCTTAGCCAAACATGCTCAGATTGCACATCTGGCTAAACTTAAAAATTAAAAAATATATTTATTTCTAAACATTTCTTTTGAAAAAGGAAGGAGAATGATATTAATTTAACACACTAAGCCCTTGTTTGGTACAAAGTAAAATTAAAATCAAAATCAACAATTAATTTTAACCACACATTTTATGAAATTCACAACTTTTCAACTACATAATTCATCAACTTTTATCAAAATTATTAAAAAATTAATTTTTCAGCCAAGTCTTCAACTTCACACCTACCAGTTTTCCACCCACTTACTTCTTTTACACGGATTATACATTGAGGATATTCATTATATTAAAATTTAACTCATTTTCTTCCCTCTCTCTCAATTCACAATTGGTTTTTTTTTTTTTTCCCCTTTCTCTCAATTCATCGGTCTGTAAAAGAATATGTACAAATAACATTACGATTTATCAAAATCAAGAACCGTAAAAAGAGGAAATACAGAAGATTTCGATTTTGACTGAGGCAAGAGTTCGTGTCTCAACAACTTGCTGGCATTTTTAGTCTCTTAAATTAATGAAATTACACATTAAATTTTTACCAAATTCCGTTGAAACTTCGCACAAAGACTTTTAGTCTGCGTGCAAGATCCAGGAAAGGGAAGTCTGAAACCAAAGACCGAATTATTGCCATTTTGTCTGTATGCTTGAATAAACTCTGCGTGCAGCATCCAATTATTATTATTTTTTTTTTTTCTGAAGATTTTTGAAGACTCGGGTTGTTTCCTCATTTGCAATAATTCATGGAGTGGGTGAAAAGAAAGATAAGGTTATTGAAAAGGAGGAACGAGAAATTATCGCCTTGGTATATTGAACATGGGGGCAAGCTGTTAGAAGGGCTTATTGCTTCCTCTAATGGTAAAGAT